TTTTCCCAGCACACCAGAAGTATCTGATAAAACAAAAAGATTCCTTTATATCTAGCAGTTAAAGCTAATTAAAACATCACATTACAGTTTCAGCTAAAGTTAAATTTTCAATCACAAGTCAAAATGCATATTAGAGTCTCTTTATGAGAGAATCTAAGAAACCACTTTTTTGTCACGACTACATTGATCCTTCAAGTTGCACAAAGATTAAAAACAAATATAGTCAATCTGCAAATGCTGACACAATGTTACACTGTATAAATTTTCAGTATAATTAAAATGTACACTTAATTATAACCAGGATAAACATTCTTACTGTACTTTGACTGAACTTGCCTAGACATGATTTTCACCAAGATGTTTATCAAAGACGTTATAAGAATCTACAAAAGAATCTACATTTAAAAAATATTTTTCTTCTTTTTCATTTTGGTCACTTATACTCTGCTCAGTCTATTGTAGTATTTCTAAAAGATGCACAGCTCCAATTGTGCTTAATGTATTGTGTACAAATGTAGAAAAAAGGCCAGCATTTGGTGTAAAATCTTACAACATTTGACTACTAAAAATATGTATCAAACTCACACTAATATTGTACCACAAATTAGAGAGCTTCAAAGAATTTGTTTCTAATATCTTCATTGTACATTTGATTACTATCCTAGCCTACTGTTTAAATGAAAATAAACTGGGCATACATAGGACAAAACTTATTTATCTAACTGTGAAGATTGCTACCATTGTCCAAAAACCTCGAGCAATTTAGAATAAAGGAGAAGTGTTTGCACGGAGCACTTCGGAGTTAAACAGCTTTGATTCCTACCATTCACAAAAGAGAAGGAAGGGCACAAAAGGATAGGCATGGAAGTGAAGAGTAGGATCGACTTTAAAATGCAACATTATTCAATTGACAATGTTTTCTTGTCGTTATTGGAAGCAGGAGCGGCATGGAAACTCTATGAACTTGGAGAAAAAAATGAAAGTTTTGTGTTCAAGACTTTCATTCATAGGGTCGCTATGGGTCGTCTACGACTCAACGGCACTTAACAACAACAACAACATCTTGTTGTTATAACTCTTTCAAGTTGACCCTATGAACAGCAGATGGAAACTTTGCTCCATCCTGAACCATCCTCATAGTCTCAAGCTCCTTGTTGCAGTCACTTGTGCATCAAGTGGAGAGGTCTTCTTCTCTTTCTCTGATCTTCCATCTTTTTCCCCCAAGAACTGGTCCCTCTAAAGTACACTGGACAAAGTTTCACCCTCTTTATCTCTAAGGAGCACCGTGGTTGCACTTCCTCCAAATGTGACTTGTTTATTCTCTTGGCAGTCCATGGTTTAGTCCGTACTCTTTGCAAACACCACAACTATTCTTCTAAGGTCTCCCTTATTATTGTCCAACTTTCACATGCAGAGATGGTAGTGGAAGATAGCATGGTTTGGGTCAGGTGCACCTTAATACTCAAACTGTCATTTTTGCTCTTTAGCATTTTAAAGAGGAACTTGGCAGCAGATGTGCCTGATGTAATATATATCTTTTGATTTCTTGATTACAATTTCCAATGTATGTTGTTTGGGGATCCAAGTAAAATGACAGAGTTGACAACTTTAATCTTTTCTCCATCTATCAGGATACTACCTAGTGGTACATTTGTGAGATTTTTCTTTTTTGTTTTCTTGATGTTGAAATCCAGATTGAAGGTTGTAGTCTTTGCTCTTCTTCAGGAAGTGTTTCTGCAGTAAGTTTTCTTCATATTTGTACTTCATTTCTATCTAGACAGACTTTAAAAAAACCTAAAAAGGAAAGCAAAGGATAAGTTTAAAGATTAAGACTCATTATAAAAAAATACAGAGCATTTTCTTTTCTTAAGGTATAGAAACTCAATTACCATGGTCTTGTGCCCAACAGCTTCTCAATGGCAGCAATGAGGTCACCTCCTGTTGCTATAAGGGCCTGCAAGTTTGCTTCACGATTCATAAACCCCATTGAGCTGAGCTGTAGTAGTTGTGGTTGAAATCTGATTTCTGGATTTGCCACCAGAAACTGAATCATTTGCTGAATGGACTGCTGGTTGAGTCCTAATTCCGATCCAGGATTCATGGTTTCACCAGGTGCAGAGCTAGAAATGTTGAATCTTGTTGGAACACCAGGAGCAGTGGGAGCAATGGGCCCAGTGTTGCCTAGGGAGCTAAATGAGACCATAGGGCCCATGGGGCCAAGTGAAGTAAATGTGCCTGGTGGGCCCATGGTGTTTCCCAGCACCATCATTCCCATACTGGGAACAAAGCTTGAAATGAGGCCAGGTGCTTCTGTGGCTAATATCTGGAGCCCTTGTTGGACCTGGATCAAAGCTTGCACTGCTCTTGGGTTTGACATGGCTGGAAAGAATTCTCCTTGCTGCATGTGCTGCAGGAAATCAATGGGTTGTATGCCCATCTGCCCCTGTAGCTGAGGATTTATAAGAAACAGCTGGCTATTTGGTATCATCTGAGCAGGCAGATCTTGATTCAGGCTCAGGGACGATATCATGCTCATGTAGGGTGCAAGTGGCATATTCTGGGACACCTGAGCAGTTCCACTTCTTTGTGGCAGCAGGCTTGACCTTACTGGGGTATGGAAGGCACTGGGATGTTCTGCATCTTCGGTGTTCTCAGTAGTACTGCTGGAACTTGCACTGCTTGAGGTTCTATCAGTACTCACAGAACTCTGAGAAGCCTGTGGTTGCCCCCATGGACTGGATAGTGGAGCTTGATTTCCTGAAGATGACGACTGTGTGTCTGCCCCAAGAGAGGAACTTCTCTGCATACATGGGCATGGATTACACTGAAACTGCTCTTGTACAGCATTCAGTAGAAGCCCTTGAATATCACTGTACATGCGCCTTACCCCAGCGTTACCACCTGGCATATTTTGGAAATTGCGGGCGTATGAATTTCTCATTACTTCTTGCATGACGACTGGATTCCTGGCTAATTCAAGGATCTGACTCATTACATCTGGGTTGTTAACCATTTGACTGATTTCCGGGTTTCTCTGCATCAGCTGCTGCATCTGTGGGTTGGTCATAATGAGATGCCTCATCAGATCCTGATTGGAGAGCACACTCTGAATAAAAGGGCTTTCAATGATCTGGGTTATCATCTCAGGATTGTTTATGATTTGCTGCTGCATTTGGCTGTGGACCTCAAAAAGACCGGGTGAGCTCAAATCCAGGGTGCTAAGGCCTGAAAGTATATCTGCATTTCTCAAACCAGATGAGTTGCTAGTTGAGGGAGTCAGTGGAGAAGTATCCCTGGAAGTCGATGCTGTAGCAGTACTGGTTCCTGTGGCGCCATTTCTAGGTTGCACGAATATGCCTGCAAGTTCCTTCTTGTTTCTTAAGACCAGGTGGATTGTCATTCCATCCCTGACGCCGTGGTGCACCAAGGTATTTTGATTTCTCATAATTTTCCCACCAAAAATCAACACTACATGATCGCTTTGGCATTTGAAGCGTTTAGCAACCATCTCCTTTAACTGCTGGACTGAGCTAGTCTCAAGGACTTCAAACACTTCTTTCTCTTTGGGCGTCTTTACAATGACTTTGATGACTCTGGGTCTGTCCTGGGCGGTGGCAGCTGCACCTGGGGCCACCCCAGAGCCACCAGGGCAAGGGTACTGAGCGCTGTCGTTCCTGTCACTTTCAGCCATGGCAGCTACAGTTATGCAGGTGAGTAGAGAATGTGTGGGCAGGTGAGCAAGTGAAAGGGGGGGGGGAGGAATGAGGAGCTGCTGGGAGCACAGAACTTCTGAGATGAAGCCTGCTGTGGTTCCTTGGTCCTCTGGAGATGGCTCAGCGGAGTCAGACGCTTAGATGTTCTTGTTGAAAGCCTTTAACTCCACAGCCGCTGTGTAGCAACTGGGGTCTTAAAAGCTTCCTAGCAGCCAGCTAAGGTGCAGTTATTGGCCTCTCCCTGTTTGGAACAAACATGATGGAAGATAATTAAAGATACACAGAAACAATGATTTGTGCATAGCCATTAACAAGTCCCCAGAACCTCAACTTCCATGACTCTGAGAGTAGAACTAGATGGCGCGGGGCTACCATTGTTGACTTCTCTCAAATACAAATGGAGGCTTTTGGATAAAATGGAGTAAAAATGTGCAACAAAACTAAAAGTCATAAAAACGACCAGGTTTAATGGTGAAACCTTTGAGACTATGACTCTTAGCTAATCTATGAGCCTGGAACTGAACTCATGTCTATGGATGAACTTTTAGCCACATAATAAATCTGTGAGGTGAACAATAACATTGGGGATGTACACAGTCCTTAGAACTGTCAACCATATATCAGTAATATGCCATTAGCCTAGAAATAATCTCAAAAAGCCGGTAAGGAGAAGGCAGAAATATAGATGGAAACATGGAACCAGAAAGCAAGTGGAAAGGATGCTGTTAGAATGTGGGATTGGAATCAGTATCATAAAACAAAATATATCAGTACCACACACTTTTGTTCAAATCACAACAAAAAGGCAAAAGATTTAAATAGGCATTTTACAAAAAACCAAAAGTATGAGTTTGGATTTTTTTTTAAAAAAGTTTACATATTTCACATGAATGAAGCATGTCTTTTTTCTAGTGATATTCACGGTTTATGGACCACTTTTGATCTACCTGTTATGCCTAATATTATATTAAAACGTTATTTCTCTTTATATCTAGTACTTATACTTGTGAATAATTTATTATATTTCACCATAGTTATATACTAGAATTTATTGACTATTTCTGTTTAGTTGGAGGATGAGAGGTTTTATCCCCCTGTTTGTAGACAGATGTCACAATAGTGCTGCATATAGACTTTTATTCCTATAAATTTTTAAGACAAAATACCAGAGATGGGAATATTGAGCTAGAGTTGTTTTAAAATAGTATTTATAAATTTTCGTTTTCCTGCTTTGGACATTTCACAATATATTTTGTCATTACAGTGAGCATTGTAAATGACCATTTTGTATGTATTTTGTTTATACATATATAGAAATAGTCCATTGTGTTTCCACCAGAAATGACTATTTTGTTGTTGAAAGTGGGGAAACAGTTGTTGTTATGTGCTGTCAAGTCACATGTGACTAATAGTGACCCTATGTACAACAGCCCTAAACTCTGCTCTATCCTGAGCCAATCTTATTGTCTCTGACACACTTGCCTCTATTACTCCAGTCAGTGAATCAATCTATCTCGTCAAGGTTCTTCCTATCTTTCCCTGTCCCTCCACTCCCCCAAGCATGATCTCCCTCTCCAAGGACTGGTCCCTCCTTGCAACATGTCCAAAGTATGTCAGACGAAGCTTCAGAATCCTTGCCTCCAAGGAGCAGCCTGGTTTAGCCCTTTCCAGGCTGAACCTGTTCATATTCTTAGCAATCCATACTCTTCTCCAGTATGACAGCTCAGAAGTATGAATTATCCTTCTATCATCCCTTGTCATTGTCCAGCTTTCTGATACACAGCAAGTAATTGCAAAGACGATGGCCTGAATCAGGTGCACTTACGTCTCCAGACTGACATCATTGCTTTTCAGAACTTTGAAGCAATTCATCTTTTAAATTCCCTGGCTGCTGGTGCCAAGAGTGTAGATTATGGAGCCAAGCAAATCTGTTAACAATCTGAATCTCCTCACCATCTATCATGATGCTGCCAATCGACCTAATGGTGAGAAATCTTTGTTTTCTTAATGTTGAGCTTCAATCCATATTGAAGCCTGTAATCCTTGACCTTCTGCAGCAAGTGTTTTAGGTCCTCCTATGTTTCAGCAAGCCAGGTTGTGTCATCTACGTAATACAGGCTGTTGATGAGCCTTCCTCCAATCCTGATGCCACAGTTCTCTTTATAGAACCCAGCCTCCTGGATAATCTGTTCTACGTATAGATTGGAAAAGTTTGGAGATAGGACACATTCCTGGCATACACCCTTCCCACTTTTGAACCATGCAGTGTTTCCTTGCTCTGTTCTGATGACTGCTTCCTGGTCTGAATAAGCACAATCAAGTGTTCTAGGATTCCCACTCCTCTCCGAGTTAGCCACAGTATGTTGTGATCCACACAGTCAAATGGTTTTGCAAAGTCAAGATCTATCTAACATTAGTTACAATATCCCTAGTTCCATGCCTCTTCTAAATTCAGCTTGCACTTCAAGCAGTTCTCTGTTGATTTGCTGTTTAAGTCATTTCTGGATAATCTTCAGCAGAATCTTGCTTGCATGTGATATCAATGATATTGCTTGATAATTTCTGCACTCTGTCAGGTAACCTTTCTTTGTAATGGGAACAAATATAGATCTCTTCCAGTCAGTTGGCCAGGTGGTTGTCCTCCAGACTTCTTAGCACAACTTGGTGAGCACATCCAGGGCAGCATTTGTTTGTTGAAGTATGTCAGTTGGTACGCCATCAGTTCCTGGGGTCTTTTTTTTTTTCCAATTCTTTCAGAGCAGCTTGAACTTCTTCCTTCATCACCACAGACTCTTGCTCATATATTGTTTCATGAAATTCTTCTGTGTCTGCTAATTCCTTTCAGAACAATGTCTCTGTATACTCTTTCCATCTTCTTTTAATGCTTCCTGGATCATTTAATATTCTGCCCAAAGCATCCTTGAATTTGTTCTTCAGTTAATTCAGCTTAAGAAATGCTGGGAAAGTTCAGCCCCTTTGATTTTCTGACTCCAGTTCTTTGCACATTTCATTATAATACTTTGTCTTCCCACATTACCCTTTTAAATCTTCTATTCAGCTTCTTAATATCTTGATTTCTTCCCTTTGCTTCTTGGCACTCTTCTTGTCAGAGTCTCATCTGACATCCACCTTGGTCTTTTCTTCCTCCTCTGTCTTTGTAATGACATTTTGCATTCTTCCTGGATGATATTCTTGATATCCTCCCACAGCTCATCTGATCTTTGCTCATTAGTGTCCAAGGCCTCAAACCTGTTCCTGAGATGGTTTTGAAATTCAGGTGGGACAGACTCATAGTCAAATTTTGGTTCCCATGGATTTGATTTAATTTTCCTTAGCTTCAGCTTGAACTTCCATATGAGTAGTTGGTGATCTGTTCCACAATCAGCACCGTGATTTCACCTGATGGTATGCATAGGAATCAGATCTATTACACCTGTGTGGAAACAGAGTGAGTGTGTGAGAGTGTGTGTGTGTGTGTGTGTGTGTGTGTGTGTGTGTGTGTATGCATGCTTTTTAATTCTTTATGTTCAAATAAGTAGCATTATTGTGTGCCAACCATCAGGGGTCACTTGTTTACTATGTCCGTACTCTAAGGACATTTTGTTTGACAATCTTGTGCACTGATAGAGTGGTTTTCAAAACAAAAACCTTATATGGTACAAATTTTACTGTGTTGCCACCCAGAAATAAACAAAAGCATATTCATATTACATTTTCAGGTCAGTAAAAGCAATTGACAAGTTAGATGTTAACTCCTTATATTGACATAAATTTATATGAAGTAAAA